GCAGAACAAATTATCTGCTGTAAAAGAAACGCCTGTGTTTCCAAACGATCGTTAACGAACATTTTGGCAATATGTCAGAGAGGTGTCTGAGACGCTTTTTATCTTCTGCATGAAACAACGCCATTAGAGCTGGAGCAAACCGCATGTATTCGTTACCGAGTAACGGGTACATCGGTTGACTCGAAGTACCGATTCGGTACTCACAAATTCATTTCGTTGCTCGCATCTGTCGTACGATGCGGTTTATTCGAGTACGAATGATGCGGTTGCTATGCGAATACGAATGATGCGGTTGCTGTTCAAATACGTATGATGCGGTTGCTAACAATACCCGTGTGCCACATTTTTCATTGACAATTTCGAATTTTTTTGGTTAACTCATCGGGCAAACTCTTGTTTACATATGTGTTTTGAGTTGATAATATGTTTTAGTTGTTGATAGTTAAGAAATGATCAATTTTGATAGCGTGAAGCGTTATTTTGTATTGCTTTTTACATTTAGATTTATAGTGCATATTGTATTTGTAATTTGGAATTTTAGATGATTATTGATTTTTTTTTTCTTGAGCCTGGCATAGTGAGATTTTATTAATTTGAAATATTTATATACTGCACTCAGGTATTGTTTATATAAGAATATGTAAGGTTAATATAAGTTCTTTACTTCCTTGTACGAAATAAAAAGGAAGTAAGTATTTTAATGAGAAAAATTTTGGGGTATCATATTTCAACGGAAATATCCATTTTTGACTATTACAGAATCCATGTGAATTATTTTTTTGGGTGACGTCTGTACGAACAAACACAATTTTTTTTTTTTTTTCCCCAGAAACGGATTGTTAAATGTAATCCCATTTACTCTAAGCTGACACTTATGACTAATGATTGTGACTCTAAGTTGATACTTGAAAGGGATTTTTTCGTGATGTGTAAGTACGTATATATGCATTTCGCATAACTCAAAAACGATTAGTTCTAGAACGTTGAAATTTTGTATATGGGCCCGTTATAACATCAAGGTGTGCACCTCCCTTTTTATTGCAATCGGTAATCCTACAAAACGTAAATATGTATATTTTAAATAAATTATAACTAAATGTAAAGTACATATATATATATATATATATATCCTTATAATTAAATGTAAAGTACACATACATATATATACATATAAAATAAAAGCCAAGTGAGGCGAAAATAAAAGCCTTGGTTTTTATTTTACTTATTCATCACTAAGTAAGTTACTTGGCTTTTATTTTCGCAATCGTTGGTTGTAGTCAGGGCTTAATTTTCAAAATTAGAAGTGCTGGAGCTCTATGGAAGGCCATCAGGAAAGATGAATAAATAAATAAATAAATAATAAAATAACTAATGCAATAATAAAATAATTAACAACTAGAATATTATAATTATTATTATAATTCAATAAAAGTAAAGACAAATGAAAATTTAATTAATTCTTAAATTATGATGAACAACTAAGTAATGAAATAAAATAGCGACATGTCTGTTGGGGATTGTGACTGAAATTGCAATTAAAACTAAGCCGAGCATTAACTAAATTTAGGCCCTTGAGGAGAAATAATGTTTACCAGAGATAGATAGAATTTGGTTATGTAGCCTATTCTCTAAAGACGTTCGTCGCTGCCTTCCCCACCAATTCCTTTTTTTTTCGGTTTCGGATTATTTGGTTACGGCAATGCACACTAGGGCTATTGGGAAGGGAAGGGATGCCTTCGTGGAGGACTTTTTAAAGAAAACTGGCTTATATGCAAGTTACACATAGGGAAAACGACGAAAACGCCCATGCAGCCAGCCGTTAGCCGGTAATTGAACCCCGGACCGAACTATTAGTCTTCAGCGACTTTACCGCTCGAGCTCTGGTGGGCTCTTCGCTGTTTTAAAAACAGGTGTTCACTTCACGATAAAGCAAGCACCTGTTTTCTTCAATTAAAACAGGTTAGAAGATATGACTCTTACCACTTCATTCTCACTTAGCTTTTGATTTCTAATATTTATTCAGTATTTTCTGTAGACATTCTGATTATAATAATGGATTTCAAACATGTGCAAAAGGTGTTTATCCGAATATAATTAGGTTTTTATAACATAGGGCCCATTTTATTAATTTATAAAGCAATAGAACCACAGTATCGCTGTTTTGAAAGAAAGCAAAAATGTGACAAATGTATAATGAACATTAATATATATGCTTTACTAGAAATTCACCCTTTCGTCATTAGCGGTTCTGATGAAAGGAATGGGAAGCAGCAAACGAGATAACGAGTAACGGACAATACGAAATCTAATCTTTAATGCGGTCTCCCCAGTTTTTTAGCCCACCAGCGCCGAGGGTAAAGTAGTTGAACCCTGGGTAGTTTGGTCTGAGGTTCGAATCCGCGAACGGGTTGGCTGCATGGTGTTTTCGTGGTTTTCCAATGAGTAACGTGTATAAGGCCAGTTTCCCTAAAAGTCTCCACGAAGGCATCCTCCCCTTTAGGCAGATAGTCCTAGTGTGCTTTGCATAATTTAAATACACCAACACCAACCCATTTCTTTTTTGTATTTGGGAAAGATTTATTGTCATTATGAAAAAGTGAAATTTGAATGGCTACCCATAACTTTTAAATATGCTATTTTTGCTGTACTTCATTTAAATTATTCCCTCGAATTATTCAACTTAATTAAGCGATACCCGAAGGCAAGTTACAAATGGCATCAACACTGCAAATTCTGAATTAATTTCCGTCAATCTCTTCGCGGGACTCAAACTTCTTGCTTTTATTTTTTGCATAACGAGAATAAACTTTGCCAGCTATAATATAGGAACTCAGAAGACACATAAAGTTAGATTCGTAATTTGCCAAATTAATTCTATTAAAATTTGACATTGACAAAATATAATTTTTCGTCATTAAAATCTCTTATTTTTGTTGCACCCTATTAAACTAGCTTCTTCGAGTTATTGACATTACATAATTCGTTATCTATTAAAAATATTATAGCAAATCTATCTAATTCTCTCTAATGGTCCTTTCTAATACTCTGTATTTTTGAGAACTAAACAAACATTGGTAGTGACATCTCCTTTCAAGACCACGACATGTAAATCCTCTAAAAGCATGAATGGTTGCATTTAAAGGACCCATTACTTTTTAATAAGAATGAACATTAATGTAATATACTGTTTTGGTGTGTGTGCCAAAATAGTGATACCGTGGTTCTGTTGCTTTAGAAATATGTGAAATTAAAAAAATGAATACTACATAACAAAAATGTTATTATATTCAGATACAATACCTTCTGAAGAAGTCTGAAATTCATTCTTCTGCTCAGCATAATTTTTCTGCATAAAATAATAAATAGTATCTCTTCTAAACCATTTTAATTGAAGTAAACAGAAGTTTGCCTTATCGTAAAGTAAACACCTATTTTTCAAACAGCTGATAAAACGGGAAAGAGGGAATTGGTGGGGGAAGGCAGCGAACGAAATAATACTTTATCGAGCTGGGGATGAAATGAGAAGGCAAAGGTACTAAGCCAATAAACAGGTCTGGTATTTTACTTTATAATTTAACTATTCATCATAAATTTAAGAATTATTTAATTTTTAGTTGCTTTACGTTTTTTAAATTTTTATTACAGTATTTTAATATTTCAGTTGCTAATTATTCATTTTTTAATAACTATTTTTCATTATTTTAATTATTAAGTTTTTTTAATAAGTAATTTTTTATTTTAATTACTAATATATGTTATTATTGTAATATTTATTTTCTTTCTTATTTATTTTTTATTTTATTTTTTCCTATTTTCCTGACGGCCTTCCGTAGGCGCTTGTGACTTTTGACTTTTGTGACACCACAAAAGGAGGTGAATTATTTCTAATACGACGTAAAACTCCCTATAGCATAGGGCCGTATACCGATAAAATAGGCTCAGGATACGGATACCGATCGATTTTCCCGAAAGTAACGAGTACTGGTTCACCGAGTAACGAATACATACGGGTACACAATTTCTCGTTACTTCTACAGCACTATTCGACAGGCAGTGAACGTTTGCTCGGCATGTGAATGGGACACGTTGGAAGAACCGGTTTTCCCCACTGGTCTGTTCTACTCTTTTGAAAGGGGCTTAGTCAGAGCAATTCCTTAAGCGGAAGTGAATTCAAATCAGATGCAAATATTTATTTTAGCAACAGATGAGCAATGTAGAAAGGAAATAACGTCAATGCAATGGAGAAACAGAGCGACTGGGATTTTACATTTGTGTGGATTATTGAAAATTTCAGCATGCATCATCTTACTGAAAAGCAATGTATTTATAGCCCATTATTTGTCATCAACTCTTTACCCGAAAAAAATGGCGCATTGGATCATATTTAAAAGGTTCTAAAAAATATCCAGAATGCGTAGGTATTATTCTCTGCAGATGTGATGACATTGCAGAAGACTGCAAGATGAGTTGGAACTTTCAATTCATAGATCATAATGAAAAGGAAATTATCTCAACTAACTTTGCCATACATACATTTCAAAAAGGAGTACCGTTTCAAAGTTTCGGCTGGTTCCGATTTATGAATAAAAGTTTTCTTTCAAGGTCTGTTATTTGCGATATACTAATTATAAAATGTAATTTGAAATCCGTTTCTGAGACTAATGAAAAAGAGATACACCCTTCCCTTTCTTACGAAACTGGACTGTTCACGGACGTTGTATTGCGTGCCCGTGGTGCAGAATTCAAAGTGCATAAAGCTATATTGTGGGAGAGGTGGCCTGAACTGGCCAAAAAACTCGATGAACAAAAGTCTTCCGAACAAGATTTCGATATCGGATCAAAAGTTCTGGAAGTCATGATCAAATATGTTTACACTGGAAAATTAAATTTCAGAGGATATAGGTTCAACTTCCAGGAGCTCTATATCGCTGCAGCAAAATATGGACTCCGCATTCTCAGCCCTACACCTGGTAGTATAAAAACATGTACAACTCGCGTTGATGCTGAAAAAATTTCGTTTGTGTGGTCAAACAGATAATTTCTCCAGCGTGCCCGTTAACACAGAGTTGCTTCACGAATTTAAGACACATATCCCGAAATTTGGTAAATGGAGTTTAAGAGTACACGTCAGTGGAAAAACGGAAACGGATCAGATCTTTGATGTTTTCATTTGCAAATTACTTGAGCCTGAACCTGTAAAGATTTTTGTGAGAACCAAAGTATCCTTCGATGACGCTAATTCTTCTGAAAATGAACATTTGTTTAAGCAGGATGAAAATTGGAAATGTGCTGAGTTTTCGAGGAATATATCTTCAGATCCAGATGATATCTTGTTACTCAGATGCGAATTTAAACTGTCTAATGACAGTATTTCTTCTCAGATTGTTGAATCTTCTTGCCTCTTTCCAACTTCAATCGGAGAGTGTAACTTAAACAGAAACCTTCGAAATCTTTATGAAAATGGAACATTATCTGACGTTACTGTGGTAGCTGAATCGAGAAGATTTTCTGTGCATAAATTTATACTGTGTTCTCAGTCATCGGTGTTTTGCAGAATGTTCAAAACCGAAATGACAGAATCGCGAAACAGCCAGGTGGAGATTCCTGATGTAGATCCTGATATTATGCATCAAATGCTTCTTTTTCTGTATACTGGAAATGTTGAAAAACTATCCGAAGAAACAGTTATTCAGCTTTATGGAGTAGCTGATAAGTATGATGTTTCTGCTTTAAAAAATGTGTGCTTGTCCTTTTTCAAATCCAGTATTACTGTCGCAAATGTGTGCAAAATTCTCCAGTTAGCTGATATGCATCGCGTTGATGATTTGTACCAAAGTGCTTTGGAATTTTTTTCTGATCATCTGCAGGAAATTTATTCAACCGATGAATGGAAAGAGAGGTCCAACAACAATTTTTGTGTGAAACTTCTGCAAGATGTGATAGCTCGTAATAAATCCACAAAATGATTCATGTGCAACTTTACAGCAGGCGTCCTCAGCAAATGTAAAGATTAAAATTCCGTAAAATATGTAAGTTTTTTTGTGATTATTGTAAACTAATTTCATAGTCCTAGATCTTAAAATATGTTTTTATGATCTCTCTCTTTAATCATGCGATTTAATGCTTCAAGAGGTAAAACTTACTCTCGAACTCGCATCAGTAAAAATTAATTTTATTTTGTCCAGTTTGAAAAATCAAAATGCAAAGAAGTTTATTATCCTGTAATTCTGGTTTATGATTTTCTTTCATAAGAATCACTTTGTTCATTTTCAATAGCATGTCTTAAACACACCGTTGCACTTTTGATAAGATACAATGTAACGTAGTACCTTAACTTTGTAACGTTGTAACTTAGTTAAAATACAATGTTCTTGAACTTTAATAAAATAGCCTGTTTCATGAATTCAGTTTGTTATGTAATTTTCAACGTTATTTAATCATTCTGTTTTTTTTTTTCCCTTGGTGTTTTAATTCCATGCTCCCATTTTTTCTTGCGTTGATGAGTTGAGTCATATAATTGTACTATGTGTTCTTGTTATTATATTTGAAACATTCGTAGGAAACCTTATAGAAGAAACTTTTGAACCACATAATAGATAAAAATATTGGCATCAAAATAAATGCAGTGCCTGTATGAAGTTTGACTTTAATATGAGAGATCTCAATTTAAATTTAGATGTCTACCTTCTGAACTTGTAAGTTCTTCATGTCAGTCTTTAGAGAGGAAAAAGCAGAGGTATTGCTTAAACCCTGAAAAAACAATAAGCGAAAATAAATTAGTACAGTATTGAAATCTGATAATAAATTTAATGTTATACCCACTCGCAAAAATTAGCAACACATAACCACTTTTAGCAATTTTGTTTTAATATGAGAAATTAACTGCTAAATGCAGCAACAAGCTCCAACTTTCTTAATAAGTAATTATGTTGATGGATAAAATTTTTTATTCGTTTGCAAATTTAAAGGAAGTTTAATTTTGTATTATTTTATGCTAAAAGCTGGTCGTTGAAATAATATAATTCGTATTGAAAATTAGCTTTTTCTATTTACTATGCAAAATGGAATATTGCGAATATGCATTTAGAGTTCATGATCTTAGGGAGTAAGTATGCCGTGGACGAATTCCATGTAATGCAGCCCTAACTACTTTCGTCTTTTTAATATATATTACAGAAAATTTTATATGAAATAGTCTTATGTAGTAATATAGGTTTAATTCTATTATATAAACAGAGTTATGTGTGTGTGATTATGGCAAAGCCTCGAGGGCTATCTGCCTAAGAGGAGGGATGCCTTCGTGGAGGACTTTCTAAGGGAAACTGGCTCGTATAACGTTACAACATGGGAAAACCACGAAACGCCCATGCAGCCAGCCCTTCGCGGATCGAACTCGGACCGAACTAAGTGTTCACATACCGCTCGCCGCTGGTGTTAAACAGAGTTAATGGCATTTTAATACAATGCTGGAATGTGAAAGTTTCTATTATCTAATTCTTCGATAAAAAGGAAAGGTGTTTAATTCGTAAGTTAAATACAGGGAAGATTTCAATTTTCTGATAGAATATGCTACTGAACATATAGTAGAAAATAGAGAATGAAATTACCTATTAACTAATTGCTGCTGCTATTTTTTAAAGTTTTACTTTTTAATTTTATTCCTAGGATTGTATACTTCTTTTTCTTTATTTTTTTTTTAAAATCTTTTCAATTTGTAGTTTTATGAGGTATTTCTCCCACTTTCCTAATGGCCGTATCACTTCTATGGACGCGTGCGCTTACCCGGGACAATTCCGAGAAACGAGATTCTAGTAGCACGGCTTTCAGCGGCAGTCTTCCGAGAAATGTTTCGTCTGGCTAGGAGGAACATGTCCCGGCTACGAGCAACATTTTAAAACTTTTCCGAAAATGTTCCGGCTGGAGACGTGTTCCTCGAACGTTCAACCAATCAGACGAAAGTTCTGCTTCTGAAGGATCACGGGTAACTTTCAATATGGCGGTGGCTCTCACTGTGAAGTCATGGACGGTGGAAATAGAGGTGGCTTGGCAAATGCGGTCAAGAACAGGAGACTGACGTTAATTACGGAAGGGAAAAGTAAACGGCTGTGTCAGGGATCATAAGAGGAGATATATTTTTAAAAAAAAAGTGTTTTTAGGTCTCATTCAGTATCAGCATATCAGAAATAAATGATGCACATGGTATCAGAATGGAGACAAATTACATACGATACGAAAAGTTATGTTTATTTGTTTATTAACATTTCATTATTACATTGTTTTCGTTCAGGAATTTCCTTCCACCCCCCTCTGAGCAATACATACAGGTACATGTAAGTCGGCTGAAAAAGCACTGCTATAAACAATAATCCAACACCCAATTCCAGTTGAACAGCGCTTATTAATACTAATTGTTTCGGAAAGCATCCTAGTTTTGAAAAGCTTCGTATCATCTAACATAAAATTAATTAATTAATCATCTTAAGAATGATTTTGTGTTGAATATGGCAAAACATATGAGGGTTGGCTAGCATGATTTCATGGAGAATTTCTAAGAAAATGGGCTCATATTTACATACCTTAAGGAAATCCACGAAAATGCTTACACAAAGTGGTACGGTTGCAGTAGGTTCCTTAATTCCATCTGTTAAATTTGCATCTAATTGTCAAGTGCTCAATTTTTTTGGCTAGTTTATACATTCAAAGGAAATACACAAGTTACTCTCACTGAACTTTGCACGTTAGTCTGAATAACCTTTAAACCCGATGAACAGTATATTTCTGTGACAAGGGCGAGCTTTCTGACTGTACAATCTGTTTTACATTTAGCGAGCTTGTGCCGAATAAGTTTATTCGCTATTTTATGTAATTTCTGCAATATTTTGTAATTTCTTTATTTTTTTCATCTGTCTTTGTGTCGACCACTTTAGTTCAGTGATCCGTATTAATGTGCGCTTTTTTTAAAAAAATTTAAATGCTTCAAGATAATTAATTAGAAAGGGCATAATTCTCTTCTTATCCTTAAATTCTTCAATAAAAAAAAAAAAATGCATTTTCAGCTATAACCAAGTGAAATAATTTTCTAATATAATTCAAAGCATGAAAAATAAGGGTACTAAACAGCTTGGAAATGGAACTAGCATTGAGTTCTCTTTAAGAAATATGGTGAAGCTTAACAAAAAGTCTCGAAGTGAAGTAATTCCGTAGAATTTTCTAACTCTTTATGATTAAATTGCACTCAATTGTACTTTATAAACGACATGTAAATACTATTAATGTATATGTGTGCATGTGTGTGTGGCTCACTAGCGGCTG